TGACGTCATTAGCTGTAGCTAATGTCACTGTTATTACAAGCAAGAAGTACCGTAATGTAATCAAATCATATTTTTTTTTTTTTTCAACGACGAAATTACGACAATCAGATGTTAACTTTAAATACCTGATTGGTATTCTCTCAAAAAAGGAAACGTGTTTTTTATAAAATATACACATACTCCTCAGTGATTTCTCAACACAAGCAGTAGGTGTAAAACACGATTTATTAGTGTGTTTGTTGACTGACATAGTCTCTCCGTCAACAGACATGGCTTGAAGCGGAGTCTGGTGGCTAGCTGAACACAGAACTATATATAAGAATTCAGACAGCCTACAGCTGAGAATGACGGTTTACTTTTTAAGGTTTATGAGTCACTTTTTGATTTTCACATATATTTGTCAGAGATAAAGATATGTTATATAAGTTATATTTACACATGTTTCTGTACTTTTTCTAGTAGTTTAATTTCGTTGCTTAGAAGAAAACAAACACGTAGATCTGAAAGTAAAGTATGATAAATTTAAGCTTTTCCAACACTTACAATGGTTGCAATGTATATAGGTTGATGAAGACTATGGGCTAGTTTCGTGGTCATGAACTTGTTGCTAAAGGATTAGGGTCAGTGTGAGGATTCCATTTTCTTGTAAGATGTGAAGTTAGATGTGCACGGTGCCTTAAAGTATTTTGTCGTTACTAAATCTGATTTTCTTTATAATATATCTTGGGATTAATCTAGATTAACATGTCAAGCGTCGTCGATGAAGCAGAACATTACTACCTTTCCAGAACAAATCATCTCATTCTCTTTGAACCTTTTCAAATATCTCCGTGTAAACCTTTCCTTTGTTCATATTTTGTCCTCATTATATCAAATATTAATAGCATATTCTTGTTGTCTTGTGACGAATTGTCTTGGAATTAAGTATAACTAGATACCACACGCTCTCCCTTGATGATTCAAACAGATAAAAGATTGGAAATTCATTTGATCGATTTATGATTTATGAAATGTATCGCTGTTTTTGTCTTTCCACAAATTATTCCTGATACTAAAATCACCGCTGTAGTGTGGTTTGATTTCCGGTCTTCCCCTTTTTCGTGCGATAAGGCATTATGGGAAGGCCGGAAGCCATGTTTTATTTCAGTGATGTTCCTATAATAATTGGCAGTGGGTGTAGCCACGTTTACCGTGATACGCTACCTGACATATCAATTTCGATTTCAATAAGCGTCGATGACAACCACGTGCCAATGAGTGGGGAACATTATATTATAAATTGATTTACCGCGTGAATTATACAGCTATAACTTGTTATCTCCAGGAGAAAGTTTCCTATGTCGAGATGAAAATCTTTTGATAAGGATGATTGATCTTCGGGTTAAAATCAATAAACCTATGATTTAGAACTTGTTTTATTAATACCGCCTCGTTTTGCGTGGACCTATCTATAAAATTAGATTGCTGTGAAGCAGAACAGCCAACCTAACGTGGCGCTATAAATGAGAACCTGTAATACAAAAATAATAGAAAATATCACGAGTTTAGTTAAGGGCAGTATTCACGTTAATATTTGCAGCCAAGTTGAGGCAATTACACCAAACCTTATCCGGATATCTCTTGTCCAGCCGTGTTCCTCCAGCAAGCAGTGGCCACTGGTCAGATATTCGGCTAATAATAGATAAATAAAACCAAACTTTCCAGCAAATTAAGATGAGATCAAAGGATGACTAGCTTAAAGGAGATTACAGAAACAAACATTTCACCGCACAGTTTGTTTACTTTGTATCAAAAAATGAAAGTTTGTAATCAAGCACATAATTAGTTTCTATCTAAAACGACTTTAAAAACGTTCATTACAAAGACAGAGAAAGTGAGGAATTCAGCATCCGACAGAATATACATGGATGACATTGACCATAAATGATTATTTGACAAGCTGTATCTTGGTCTCATATCCGGAGGTTTGTGTTGGAAGTTGAAAAGTAGACAGGGAGTCATAATGAAAATTGATTTTAAAATAAGTTAAAGAAAGTACTAAGGCCGCACAAAAACAATACTGTTCAACGATGTGCAAGGAAATGTTTCAGAAAAAGTAATTTGATACCCCCTATCAGCCCTACAACCTCCCTACAACCCCCACCCCCGAAAACATTTTCTCTCTCTATCCTAAATGAAAACAATACAAACACATTTTGCGTCGTACGATATTCGCCCCACACAATTAAAATAAAAATCCTGAGGTCCTATTATTCTAATATGTCAAATTAAAAACAAGATACCTAATAGAGTTTGATCACTAATGGAGTCCAGACCGCACATCCGCTCATCCATTGTCGTAACACTGTACCGATCAATTCCATGGTAGATTTCCGGAGATATTATCGATAAAACATGCCACATTAATCATGTTAAGCTACATATTCCATTGTCATGCATTTTAATAGTTCAACACGCCTATTGAACAGAAACGGTATACTCTCATGTTTCCTAATATCATTTTGTAAACTGAGAATATTACTTTCAATGTTTATTTTACATTTTTAGGTGTTTTATTCAATTGTTTTGAAACACTGAATTTCTTTTGTTGTACATGTATATATGAAACTTTAATGTTCCACAGCAGGTGCGTCATTTAACATCAAATTGCCACACGTCCTTAAACAGTTCACTGCATGTGCAATGTTTACAAGAACCGACCTGTTTGATGATGAATATTTTCAATAAAATGCACGTGGATAACAAACTAAATTTTCTGTCATTTCTACAAAATTTAGCTAAACTCTTGTAAATGTCATGTTCTCAAAACGGGAACCGGGATGTCAGCACCACTGACAAGTCAGTTGAAAGAAAATATTGACTAAGCATCAAATGTAATGCTGTGCAAGTGGAGTAGCTGTGAACCATTATCAAATAAAACCCAAAATATTACTAGACATTTTTTGTAAAACTGCATCATACAGCTGTTTCGTTCTTGTAGGACTCGTCAATCATGCTTCCACAGCCTAAATTTAAAACCTAAAGGGCAGGAAAATCAAAGTGATCGAAAGAAACGTCAAAATCTAGAAGGGGAGAGGAACAAGCCACAAAATTCAATAAATCTCGTATTTTTTCATGTATATGATCATTTCAGAAAATCATCATATGTCTATTCTGAACCGAGTAAGTGAACGAATGTGACATGGAGGTCACGACGAACTGCGGGGACTTATCAAATTCAACAACTAACGAGACCATTCTTTCGTTGTAGATTCGTGCACTTCGTAATGATGCGCTAAAATCGAGTAAACTAAAGAAGAAATAGGTTTGACACCTGTTCTAACAGTACTAAATCCGTCAAACATCATACATAAACGTCTCATTCTAGTTTAAACAAGATTATGATTGTCAAAAACGAATCTGTTTTTCATGGCAATACTTCAAAGTATAGTAATCCCAACGTCCATGGCAGTTTTCAACAACACTTTCAACTAACTATTATGTAAACTGCCCGGGTTAAGACTTCTTTGTGATTGACAGTGTTAATAATCCTATCTCTATCCTTTCATCCAATAGATACAACATATTGGGCGATCTTACATCAGTCGGTGAATCTTGATGCATGCTTGTCTTCACTGCTGAGTCCCTATACAAACAAAGCTTTATCTCTAATGTTCAATATGCTCCATGGATCACACGTCTAAGGTTAACGTGAATATATCGACCTCCTGTTTATCGTATTTGGAGACTCATTTTTCAATTTGAAGGGCGTATCACGGCTCATGATTGGCCTAGATTTACAAGTGTAACTTTTTTGGGGAAAAGAAATGGTGTTCTTTTCGGATCATTTTCTTTCGTCTCCTGTTTTTTCTTTTCCTTCTGTTCATGTTTTTCCTACTATTATCGATCTAAATTTGAAATCACTTATCTTTTAGCATTTCGTTTCCTCGTTATTTTGTAGGATTGAAATAGTTTCTGTGGATTTCTAAAACACTTAAAAATCGCCATTTTCGATGAATTAGATGACATAGAGGTCCCACATTAGTCGCCTCCAACGAGGAAAAATATTCGGCTTAATCCACAGTTCAAATGTGACTAACAAGTCATACAAATAGTTTGATTTTCTAATGAATTATTAAATGATGCACATCTCGGTGTCTGGTTAAGTTAAACGTTTTAATGATTTCCGAGATTTTCCAAAACAGGACATCGTGACCGCGCTTCCAATGACTCGTCTTGATATTCTTGGATCTCAAATATGATGAAGCAGTTTCTTAAAATTAATTTTGCATGTGGTTCTTAAATAGATTTGAAATACCTAAAGTATTATGCCTGCGTGACACAACGTAATGCTTATTGTTTACATATATATACCCAAACACTTCGTGACTTAATCATCTTTACACTGAGCTATGCAGCCGCATTCATCGCTACACAGCTGCGGTAATATTGCTATAGATACTCATTAACATGTATAGAAATACATCTATAAAGACATCGACAGTGGAAGCGATAGAATAAACCACACGTTTCAAGGGATTTTACCTGACGTCACTTCCGTTACTAGGTGTATCCATACAAAATGAGCTGACGAATGATGATGAATTATTGAATGCACTTGATTACATAACACGGGACGTCACCAATGCATATAGACAAGATTTGTTATTGGTAATATCACATACAGACAACAGTCATAAAAGTGTATTTTATTATGAGAAGCTTTATACCTAATAAAACTTATGGTTGTATAAATTCAGAGTAAGCTATAAAAAGTGTGCATTCGGTGCAAACTATTTAGCTAGTCACAAGGCCACAAGAAAAAATCGCGTCGTTTCGACGACAAACTTTCCCTTAGGATGTCTAAAAGGCCGTTTCGTTTTTGCAGTAAATCAGCTAACAAGAGTAACGTTTGGTAACCATAGGATACAAAATAACCTTAAGCATCCATGTCATAACCAGAATGATACACAACTGTTAAAGAGATCATCAGGACAAACATTTTATGGATTGAAGACATTTTAATTTCCTGGATTTCCATTAAAGACACGAATAACACATGTACGTCCGATTTGAATCGGTATCAGGAAGTGAGTGGTTGCTATCTGGTAGTGAGTGATTGCTAACAGGAAGTGAGTGGTTGCTATCAGGTATTGAGTGGTTGCTAACAGAAAGTGAGTGGTTGCTATCAGATAGTGAGTGGTTGCTATAAGGTAGTGAGTGGTTACTCTCCGGTAGTGAGTGGTTGCTCTCAGGTAATGAGTGGTTGCTATCAGGTAGTTAGTGGTTGCTATCAGGAGATAGGTAATTGCTATCAGGTAGTGCGTGGTTGCTCTCAGGTAGTGAGTGGTTGCTATCAGATAGTGCGTGGTTGCTCTCAAGTAGTGAGTGGTTGCTATCAGGTAGTGAGTGGTTACTATCAGGTAGTGCGTGGTTACTATCAGGTAGTGAGTGGTTGCTCTCAGGTAGTGCTTGGTTACTATCAGGTAGTGCGTGGTTGCTCTCAGGTAGTGAGTGGTTGCTCTCAGGTAGTGAGTGGTTGCTGTCAGGTAGTGCGTGGTTGCTCTCAGGTAGTGAGTGGTTGCTATCAGGTAGTGAGTGGTTACTATCAGGTAGTGAGTGGTTGCTCTCAGGTAGTGAGTGGTTGCTCTCAGGTAGTGCGTGGTTACTATCAGATAGTGCGTGGTTGCTCTCAGGTAGTGCGTGGTTACTATCAGGTAGTGAGTGGTTGCTATCAGGAAGTGAGTGGTTGTTATCAGGAAGTAGGTGATTGCTATCAGATAAAGCTAACGTTATCCAAAATCATGTTCCCTTCGTACTTTTGAGAATAGATAAAAGCATACTAATGAATGCCGTCTTTGTTCCACAGGTTCTTGAACCATCACACAAACAACAATGATATTTTGTTAACTGAATCTAGATCAAGGCTAATGGAGAACATGGCAGAGAGAGGTAGTTTATAATATGTAATTCTATGAGTATTCTGCTCCTCTTGTGCCTTTTTAACTTTCATGAATCTGATAAACAGGCATAAGATTTTTTTCAAGGAGGTTATCAAGGGCTTTAAAATCAAAAATATTTTTAATCTATATACATATATCATTGGAATAATTAAGAGTTTATAAAAGAGCCAGGGGTGTGTAAAATGTTACTGTGGTAAGATAATATCATGGTAACCTACCTTAAGGTGTGTTAGATATTGCCATGGTAATCGAGTGTAACATTGCCATGGTAATCGAGGCTAACATTGCCATGGTAATCGAGGCTAACATTGCCATGGTTAACGAGTCTAACATTGCCATGGTAAACGAGTCTAACATTGCCATGGTTAACGATTCTAAGGTGGTAAGATTTAGCAAAGGTAACCAGGTCTGATGTGAAAAAGGAGGAATGAGACGTCGGAACCTAAATGACAGATAATGAAGGGGAATGCAATAATGTATTGTGTAAGACAATGGTGTTGGAAGATCTCGATAAACATCACGAATCAGGTCCCCAAATACACCAAGCAGTGACTCATTCTTATAAGAAATTATATTCCTAAACAAATATACAAATTCCCTAAGGCTTTTGCAAAAACCAAAATAAAAAAAATGATACCTGCATATTGTAGGTATTTAGCTGCGGGATTCTAAGAAAAGTGTTTCATAAAGAATTAAAAAAGAAAAAAAGAAAAACAAAAACATAAATTCTCCGTCTTTGTCAATAGTCTTGTTAAAGAACCTGGCATCAGTCTGTTCCAACACACAAGCAGTTTAGTCATGTCAGTAATGGCCTTTTAGATTGAATACAAATCAAATGTCCCTGGGTACGTTATCGAGCCTGAAGATGAAAACCCGGTAGTGGTACGTTGGTTTATAGAGAAAAGATAAAACTCCGGGAACTTTTACGTCAAGTGAAACCGTATCTGGTACGTTGTCACGTGAGTCATACCGTCCTCTGTAGCAACCTATGCACGCTTTTCAATTATTTAATGGCTAATCTTAGACATAACGAATTCCAATGAATGCCAAACAGCAAATCTCGGCAACGACTATATAAATCGTAACACCGACGTCTGGGAATGGACACTTTATGATCGGTAGCTTTTTATTCTAGAATCTAACGCTACTTTAATAACGACTGTTACACAGAATCGTCGCTTATTTATATATATACACACTATATATATACACTTTGTACATGTTAAAGTATATCGCTATGTTTAGTTCTTGGTGCTGCTTGTGTCTGCATGTCGACAAGGGATGTGGAACCAGATCAAGATTTATTTATTTATTTATTTATTTATTTATTTATTTATCAGGCATATCCATTCACTATGTATTCACTATCAATGCATATCTGAATTTTTTTGTGAGATAATTTGTTTTGGATGTTTTGTAATATACATATACACAGACTGACAGAGTTATCGCCCTTAATTAATTAAAGATTATTTCGTTATTAATCAACTAGATGTATATGTGTTATCTCCCATTAATTAATTAATCAATTGACCACAAAAATTATTCCTCAACATCATTCTATAATCGTGATGTTGTGGCATAATAATCACCGTCGAAATAAAAACATTCCGAGTGTCTACTTTGCTTTTCGGAACTCATATAAATATAAACTTCCTTCGAACTTCACTTTCATTTATTAATTTCAAGCAAAAAATAGAAGATAAAAGCACTTGATGAAATTTCAATTATATGCCGTCTTTGCTTTTGATTGAATATTGCTAGCCTAGCGTTTTGAACTTAAAGCATTGTCAATAACTTCATCATTGAACTGGTTCTATGTAAACAAAACAGAGGACCAACGGATCTTTCCTGTTTCTATTTTGTCAGGAATACATGTTGTATTTTGTTTAGATCATGTCTTTGAGATAGGAAATAGTTGGCAGTGCATAAAAAATAGTTGTTATTGTTTCGAAGTGGGTGTCGTCACTAAGATTGCTGGAAATACGGCGTTATGTTGAATTTCACCCCCTAATGAATAATCTTTTCTAATTAAAAGTAAACATCTGATATTTTTCACCAATAGGCCATACTTGAATATATAAAAGTATATTTTATCCATTAAAAATCAGTAAGTCGAATATCATGGGTTCAAAAATATCCGGTTATCTATTTAAATATGATTCGTATGATTATTTGATAGGGGGCAAAATGAGGTAACACCGAACAGTTCCAAAGCCTACCTTCGCGTGCGATAAGTCAGCCAGTGCGGGGAGCAATGGATGACTGACCGTAATTACAATGTAAACAAGACAAAAGATATCACAAAAATAGGTATAAGAATTCCTACAGAAACTGTTGACAAACGAATATATCGATATCTTGTGATAAGGGCACGCTTTGGGCACTGAACAATCTTTTGGTAAGCAATATGCTATAGTTGGGGCGGTTTGATGTGATACAGGCTGTCAGTTTAATTAAAAGCCCTTTGTCCGTCCAATTAAGACTGGCTAAAATTACCTATCTCATGACTCGACATTCCGTTGCACCCAAAACTCATCCCAGCGTGGCTATTTCGCGTCTGATGTTTGTAGGTATGTATTGTGATGTGATTTGTGTACGGTAAGCAGTGCACATTTGATGACGAAGCGGATTCCAAGGTTTTTGTCAAACATGCTGTAATTTGTAAGGTTGATTGCCTGAGAATTTCATTCCGTTCTATGATTCTGTATAATTAATGGACAGTACTGCACTTATTGGCTTGACACATGATAACATCTCTAAGAAACAGACATTTCAATGACTTCTCATTGGTATGTTTCCGGACTTTATTCGGTAAAGAAGTGATTTTTAAATTTCTACATTAGGTAAACCGGAACTGGAAGTCATAACGAAACAGAACATTTGTATTCGTAACTCGTCATGTCAAATAAACGTAAACTCAACTGAGCGAAAGATCACGCCAGCGTCCGTCAGTCATTGACTTCTCGAGGAACAGAATACAAACCCAAACTCTGTATTTCTGTGAAACACTTTCGCGTTAAATCCAGGAAAATGTTTGTGTATTTATAGATATTCCTCGGACATTTTTATCGTGTTTTTATTCCTGTCATGAAAATGTCATTTGAAAATTACAACAGTGAAAAAAATTTGTTTACAATAAGACAATACTGAAACGTCACGTTTTTCCTGCCACTTCTATTGTGTAACCAAATCCCATGATGATGTTTATTGATATTTGTTCCTCTTTTAAAATTTAATCATATTACATGTCAAATATAAACGAATCAATTCATAACTTGTCGTACATGTTGGCAACGAAACCTTGATGTAGAAGCGTCCCTAGCAACACTTCCACTGCCGCGTAACTGTTCTAGCAGTGTGTTAGGTTCCACAATTAATCGACAAATTTAGGATTTGTTTACAAAATTATTTATGAATATTTTAAGAGATTCAATTTATCACTGCCCATCTGTGTTTTCGCAAGGCAATAGGCACTCTGATGAGTCTAATAATCAAATCCGTTTCGATACATAGGCACATGGAAGCAAAACAACGAATAACACATGTAAATAAAATAAACAATCAAAAACCTGAAAGGGTATTCAAATACACAATAGACGAGCGTTTTAGTTGCATTTCTTTTTTTAATAGCTATTATCGAACCATTCGGTTTGCGCAACCTATATAGGTAAATTGTATTAGCTTCACGTAATGTGTTAAAAAAACCGTTGATCCGGTATTACTTTTCATGTACAATAATAATGTAATTCTATGAACTCGTTAGTCGGTCAAACGATATTCTGTATTAGGAATGGTTCTGGAGATAAGACCAGTGACGTAGCCGCTGTGTATCACATGAATTGTACGGCACGTGTCGTGAGTTTAGATACGTATCTATATATAGAACATGACACAGATAAATGGAAGATCTGGCAATCTGTCCATATTTAACGTTTCATGTCCAGAATGTTCTCAGTACTGCATATACGTAATTACGATAAACATCAGTACGATTTGGACAAAATTCAACAATGTCTACCTACAGCGGGTATGGGCCCTGTCCACAACAGCTGTACTCATTACACTTATACAAGCAGACACGACGTCCGCGCATCAGTCACGACATATGGCGCTTGACTCACTTAATAGTCCACGCGTCCGACTCCGGCTATGTAAGCGCGTCCAACACTGCTGACCGCATTACACAATTATACGTCCGCATGTCCAACATCACTGGCCGCATTACACAACTATATGTCCTCGTATCCAATATCACTGACTTTTTAATAGATGCATACGTCCGTGCGTCCAACATCACTGGCCGCATTACACAATTATGTCTTCGTATCCAATATCACTGACTTTTTAATAGATGTATACGTTCGTGCGTCCAACACCAAAATCCTCATTACACACGTTTATGTCCATTCGTCCTTCAGTGATATGTGACCTCGTTACATACTTATATGTCCATTTGTCCTTTAGTGATATGTGACCTAATTACATACTTATATGTACCAATTATGTACCAATTACCAGGAGATAATTGAATATTAACAGTTTTAAAACGGGCGATAATTGCATGGGTTACAACGTTGTTGACTTCTGAAATTAATTAAATCTCGATTTGAAATTAAGACGATATTTTGTGTATCTCATTAAGAGGACAAAACACGCCTCGTTTGAATGTGTATCTATATATGTATCTATAAATAACCTTGTAACATTTTATTATCGATCAGCGGTACCACCGAGTTATTAGTTCCTAAGATAATGCGATGTCAATTCGATCTGAAATTCAATAGATCGATATATGTCGTCGTTATTCTGCTCTGACGGTTCGATGACGACGACAACGTATTCATTTACAGTTTAAACGAAAAGTTGGCTAAGTATACCTAATTAACATTCCACAGGACTTCATTAAAACGTCTAGTAGTGCCATGGTTCAAATGACGCTGTCGGTTATCAGAGAGAATGTTTATTCATAACACTGACAACGTCACTTCCTTTTACCGGTGTGTAATCGAATAATGACCCTATTTAACAAATGTCCGTCAATTAGTGTATGTCAGTTATGGCTTGCATAGATGCCTATCAAGATGCTTCTATAATTGTTTGTATCAATGCATGGATGTTTGTCTAATACAGGGGGTAATATCTTCACCTGACACCGGTTCTCGAATATTGCCATTCGACACAGTATTTGACTTGGTTATGTTTATTTGTGTACGATTGACGACAGTAGGAGTGTTGTATTTGTTAAATGTTTGTAAGATTTGTGTTGACATGTACTTAAAAATAGTTGGTTTAATTTTCCTACCTCCTATTGAAAATCGTTTAAACATTATATATGCTTATATATACACATTCGTGTGACACGTCAGATGCGAGTTTTCGAAATGCTTATATTTGAATGTGATCACCAATACCTAGGTGAAACGCAGCACACAGGCCAAACGTATGATAATACCAAATATAGCAATTGATTTTTTACCCTGTTCCTGCGATGAAATCGTGAAAAGATTATTTTATTTTCGATGTAGCGTTTCTTTATTTTTTCGATAAAAAGTCAGATATTGTGGGAATAATTTTTGGTCCATGAAAGACAAATTCTTTTGTTTTTTACTTTTTCTAAAATCGTGACAATTTTAATATGGCAATACCAACCATTAAAGTCGATTGATGGTTGTAGAGAACGAAAGATCATATAACGTTCTGAACTCAGGGGCATCCCAATGTAATGATTATTTATAGAACGCTACAGAAATACCTTCAGATTACCTTACATCAGATATTTTGTAAAAATCAACCCCACAAACATCATTTTGTATAGGCCTCGTTAAGTTCGACAAGTGTTAACCACATTTTCACTTGTTTACGAAAAGTGAAACCGATTCTTACTTAACCCGTAATTATGTTATTATCATGGTAGTGAAATAACGGACATCGATGACGTCACTGTTTTCTGTGATCCATGAATTAAATCAAAGCAGTTTTTGATGACGTACACCACGGTCGTTATATGATTATTGCATTACCATAGAAATCGTAATCTATTTTTTCCGCTTTCGAGCAAGAACTTTTGTTGAAGTTTATAAAGAAAAAAAACTGCTGTGATATATACTTTTACTTACGTCGTGTAAATTCGTACTGGCTAACGGCCAGATTTCCAAGGTCACTTGATGATCAGCTAAATTAGCCAAATCGGTTTGCAACACATCGTAAATGATCTAAACGTGTATTGTTAGACAAATATAGATATGGTTCGCTTCGGACTTGTGTCCCCCAAAAATTTCTAATATAAACATTTTGGTTCTGTAATACATACACAATGATACGGGCCTTTAAACTGATCACTTTGAAAACTAGACCATCGAACGTACGTGGTCAGGGAAAACAAAAATGTGGCCGGCTGACCACTATAATCATGTGAATGGCTGTATTGACCGCAATGACCATAGAGTATTTTAGAACAATATTTGTACATGTAATTTGTCTTTATACCTATGTATGTTGAACTATAACACTGGACCTATTGTCGATATGCCTCTCGGGCACTTTTACATAGTGTATACATATCAGGAAGGCGCCTTTAAAAATCTGCTTACTTTGTCGGCTATTTATAGAAAGCTCACTTTCTTCTTCATCATCATTTCTAATTTATTTACTTTGCTCTTCAGAAGTACGTCTGTAACAAATTGAAAAAGAGAATATATGTGTCTCCAAGCTATTGTCTCGACACAGAAGAAAGCCATCGATTGTACGAAGATAGGCACAATCAGCCTCTGGAATCTGAGGACACGACACAAAAAGCGTCGATTCAACGAAAGGTTACACCTCCTGCACCCATCCATGATAATGTTTTTCATCCTTTGATATTTCTTCACACTTTAGGTATAAGTGCTCCCAAACCTGTCCCTACAATTTTTCGTTTTTCAGTGCTACTGCACTAAGGAATATATTCAAGGTGGCTTACAATCGTGATACCTTGGCTATTGCAACGTCGTATTAACACTCAAAATGTCAAATAGACTGTCTACTTTATTATGTAAATTTAAAAAAAAAAAAAAATAGAAAAAATTCAAGGATTCAATTAATTCATTCCTATGATAGAATCGTTGAGTTCGTTTCAAAACGCCATGATTTTCATTGAAATAAAAAATCGAAATATAGAATTAAAGTATTAAATGCATTTAGGACATCGTTTTTTCACATCTTTTCAATTTAACAAACCTTTTAAAATCAAGTTTTATTATTGGTCATTAATCATCGACTTGTTATACAAATATTTGATAAACAGTGCGCTAAAGAAAATTCATTAATTTACCTGTATATTATCTTGATAATTAGTAATTAATGCGGTGTCGTTTAAAACAGATTTATTATGCTGATACGGCCTTAATTGCACTTGTCGATAGTCGTAAATTACATTACTCTGATCTAGTTCTAATCCATTCCAAGCTTTTCAAATTGTTGTTTACAAAACGTAACAGAAAAAAAATCTTGAAAAAATAATGCATATAAACTGTAACC